ACCGTCCGAGGCCGCCTGTTCCAGTCGCTGTGCCTCGGGGACCTCGGCCACACGCACAAGAACGGCGGCTTCCATCGCATCTGGTGGAGGGGAGACGAGGGGAGCACATTGGGGCGGGGACTACGGCCGTATGAACGGGGCCCGGGGAGCTATTCTCTGCGTCAGCGAGGAGCGGCTGGCGGCGGCCGCTTCGCCTCGCCCCATCTGCAGAGGACTCGTGGCCGGCCGGTATGAGAAGGAGAACATAAGCACCATATTCCGCATCTACACCAAGGGCGCCAAGGAAGGAACGGAAGAGGCAGCATTCGGGATAGTGGAGCACGGCCTCGACGTCGTGGCAGGAGCGGTGGGCCAGGGCAACGTGAGGGACATTAGGATTGCTGACTGTGGAGTGGTCATTCAGAGCACCTAGGAGGGGTGGCCACACAAAGGGGGGGGGGGTGGGGTCGGGTGGCGCTGCCCGGCCTCTGCTGGCTGTGAAAGCTAGGGGGATATTGTTTTCAATTCGCTTAGATATAATACATATATATGAGGAGGTAGAAGGCCATTTCTTAGTAAATGGCCGACCTGCATACCAAGCCCTGAGAAAGCTGAACTCCAAGCCCTCTTCACAGGTGACAGCAGTTCGCTCAGTAAGTGGTCAAATCATCTCAGATCCTGATGCGGTGCGGGAACGTTGGGCTGAGTATTTTGAGTTGTACCAGGTTGATTCACCAACAGTTAACTTGGAAGCGGGTAGTGCCGAGATTCCGTTGCCGGACCTACCCATCAGTGAGGATGCCCCCTCCCTGACCGAAGTTAGGGGGGCGATCTCCAAGCTGAAGTGTGGTAAAGCAGCTGGTATATGCGGCACCCCAGCTGAACTGTTAAAGGCTGGTGGTGAACCTATGGCGCGGGGATTGCATGCTGTCCTGGCTGCCATCTGGCGGTCTGGTACCGTTCTCCCTGACCTGTTGAGGGTGTGGTCATCCCTCTTGGAAGGGGAAGGGGGACCGATGGACTGCAGCAATCACCGAGGCATCACTGCTCAGTATACCAGGCAAGGTTCTTGCCCACATCCTTCTGAGACGTATCAGAGATCACCTACTGAGGCATCAGAGACTGGAGCAATCTGGATTCACTCCTGGTAAGTCCACAATAGACCGTATCCTTGCACTTCGAGTCATTATAGAACGTCGTCGTGAGTTCAGGCGTGGGCTGCTTGCGGCCTACATCGACCTTAAGAAGGCATTCGATACGGTGCATCGGAAATCACTCTGGGAGATCTTGAGTGCTGTAAAGTGTGGTGGGGGCCTGTCAAGCTTCTTTCCTGTTCAGGAGTGAGGCAAGACTGTGTCCTTGCACTAACGCTTTTCAATACTTGCATGTTCTGGATACTGGGCAGAGCTACTGTTCAAAGTCATTGTGGAGCAACTCTGGGCAATATCAAGGTTACCGACCTAAATATTGATGATGATGTTGCCATTTTATCTGAGTCTTTGGAATCCTTAGTGGTGGCTCTCGATGCATTTAGTAATGAAGCGAAGCCCTTGGGTCTGAAGGTCTGGACCAAGACCAAGATCCAGGACTTTGGAGACCTAGTAGGAGAACCTGTTCAGTCGGTACGTGCATGCGGCGAGGACATTGAAGTCACAGAGAGCTTTACATACCTAAGTCAGCAGACGGATTGACCTGGCAGGAGGGGTCATGAACTCTCTCAACAAGAGTATTTGGAGATGCCGGTACCTGTGCAGAAGGACCAAGCTTCGTGGCTTCAAAGCCCTGAGAATGCCAGTTTTGCCAGTGAAACCTGGACATTATCCTGTGCTTTGGAGTCTCGTCTTGATGCCTTTTGTAATAGGACCTTGCGCCGGATCATGGGTACTGTTGGCGGACCACGTGTCCAACCAACGGCTGCACCGTGAGGCAGGCAAAGGACCCATTACCTGCGCAATCAGTGATCGCCAACTCAGGCTTTACGGCCACCTGGCCGTATATATATGTGCGTGTGTGTGTGTAAAATTATATGTATATATATATATATATATAATATATATATATATATATATATATATATATATATATATATATATATATATATATATATATAGTATATATATATATATATATATATATATATAATATATATATATATATATATAATATATCATATATATTATACATATATATATATATATATATATTATATATATATATATATATATATATATATTATATATATATATATATATATATATATATATATATATATATATATATGTATATATATATATATTTATTATTATATATATATTGTGTGTGTGTGTGTGTGTGTGTGTGTGTGTGTGTGTGTGTGTGTGAAAATGCATTCACGTATATAAATACTGTACACACACGCTCATACACATATTGCAAACTATATATGTCACACACTGGCTCATATTCCTTCTCCATTATTTTGTAATGTCATATACAGGGCTATACGAGATTTTGTCTGATTTTAACTTGGCATGTTCTTTGTTTACTATACTCCTAGTTTTATGTCGGGGATTGTTCTCTTCATTACGGTTCTGGTCCATATACGTGAATGCTTAAGAATAAAACAGATACACGAAGAGAAACATAAATATGATGAATGCTTGATTGTACATGTAGAAAGTAAGGTATACTCACAGAATGCAGTTAATATACTCTGAAATAATTTGATAAGAATGCGCCCGCAAGATTTGTGGCTTAGCTAAATATTCTTTTTTCAAGGTCCTAAGAATGGTTTTGTTTGTGCCTTTAAAGATTCTTTTAAAGTGTCTGGACTTGACAAGTAAAGAATTTTGTCTGGACTTGACATTTAAAGAATTTTGTCTGGACTTGACTGTAAAGAATTTTGTCTTGACAAGTAAAGAATTTTGTCTGGACTTGACATTTAAAGAATTTTGTCTGGACTTGACATAAAGAATTTTGTCTGGACTTGATAAAGAATTTTGTCTGGACTTCACATTTAAAGAATTTTGTCTGGACTTGACAAGTAAAGAACATTTTTTTGTCTGGACTAAAGAATCACTGAATTAATTAATTATCTTTATTTAACCTGTGGCTTGTGTTAAAGATTCGCTTTATATGGATCACCACACATTGGCTTGTGTTAAGAATGCTTTTCAATTTACACGCAAAAGAATACGTTTTGAATCCATAATATTTTGGAGAGAATTGCTATTAATTAATAACTACAGGGTGTGAGATTTCGATGTAACTTGTTATTTTATGGATGAATAAATGTAACTCAGATTTGTATTTTTTAATTCGTTAACCTTACGATATTTTTGACAAAAAAGAAAGCGAGATATGGATTATATGTATGATTAAATGTGACAGATTTTTATTATTGTTATTATATTATTATATATATTATATATATATTTTTTTTTTTTTTTTTTTTTTTTTTGATGGGTATTTCTTAACCTTACGATATTTTATACAAAAAGAAAAGGAAATGTGTATTTTATCTATGATGATGATTTTTTTTTTAGGGGGGGGGGGTATTTCTTAACCATACGATATATTAGGAAAAAAACAACAACCCGAGACATGTTGTAGAATTCATTCATATTTTTCGTTTCTCTCTTTCCACAAAAATGTATATTACATATTCATATTAGAATCCATGTTAATAGAGACGCTTCCTTGGTTTTATGTACATATTTAGCAATAATATTGATTGTATTATACATGTATATGTATATCTTATATCATGATAGAAGATTAACAATATGTTATAATAATAATGATGGTGAATATTACGATTTTTGTTGTTAATATTATCATAATTATTATCATTATTGTTATTTGTATTTGTATTTTATCTTCATCATTATCATTATATTTCTATTACTACTTCTATTATTATTATTATGATGTCAGCATTCCCCAATCTTTTGTTAATATTATCATGAAAGACTGACTTCCATATCGTAGAGTTATTAACATTAATTTAGGAAGAAAAAGTTCCAAAATGATAAAACAAAATAGAAATACAGTTATTTTGATACAATACAACCAATTTTTTTATTCACAAGATAATTCCTTCATTTAAACAATATCTATATAAGTGTCATATGAGGATGATAAAGAAAAACGAACACGAGACATATCGCACACCAAAACCAGCCTTATGACACAAATCACGTGAGGTCATGATGTCCAGAGCTCACTTCATGGTGTTGATGTCACTTATGTCGTTACATAGATCATGGACGTATGGTTCTTGAGGTCGTTGGAGAGTCCACCATTTTTTGCCACCATTCGTGCTGCTATCTTGCCATATATTGCCATTTTTGTAGCTTTCGTGGGTTAGCCTCGGACGCCGTAAGTCAAGGAAGTCAAGTGTAAGTCAAGGTATAAGAAGTCCAAGTGTAAGTCAAGGTATAAGTTTGAAGTCAAAGCGTAAGTCAAGGTATAAGTTTGAAGTCCAAGTGTAAGTCAAGGTATAAGTTTGAAGTCAAAGCGTAAGTCAAGGTATAAGTAAGTCAAGTCAAGGTAATAAGTTTGAAGTCAAGTGTAAGTCAAGGTATAAGTTTAAGTCAAGTGTAAGTCAAGGTTTGAAGTCCAAGTGTAAGTCCCAAGTGTAAGTCAAGGTATAAGTTTGAAGTCCAAGTGTAAGTCAAGGTATAAGTTTGAAGTCCAAGTGTAAGTCAAGGTATAAGTTTTAAGTCCAAGTCAAGTGTATATAAGTTTGAAGTTAAGTCAAGGTAAGTCAAGTGTAAGTCAAGGTATAAGTGAAAGTCAAAGCGTAAGTCAAGTATAAGTTTGAAGTCCAAGTGTAAGTCAAGGTATAAGTAAAGTCAAGTGTAAGTCAAGTATAAGTTTGAAGTCCAAGTGTAAGTCAAGGTATAAGTTGAAGTCAAGTGTAAGTCAAGTATAAGTTTGAAGTCCAAGTATAAGTCAAGGTATAAGTTTGAAGTCCAAAGTCAAGGTATAAGTTTGAAGTCCGTAAGTCAAGTAAGTCAAGGTCAAAGTGTCAAGTATAAGAAGTCCAAGGTATAAGTTTGAAGTCAAGTCAGGTAGAAGTCCAAGTGTAAGTCAAGGTATAAGTTTGTCAAGTAAGTCCAAGTCAAGTATAAGTAAGTCCAAGGTATAAGTTTGAAGTCCAAGTGTAAGTCAAGGTATAAGTTTGAAAGTCCAAGTGTAAGTCAAGGTATAAGTTTGAAGTCAAGTGTAAGTCAAGGTATAAGTTTTGAAGTCCAAGTATAAGTCAAGTATTTTGAAGTCCAAGTGTAGGTATAAGTTTGAAGTCCAAGTATAAGTCAAGGTATAAGTTTGAAGTCCAAGTAAGGTCCAAGTGTAAGTCAAGTATAAGTGAAGTCATAAGTATAAGTGAAAGGTCAAGGGTATAAGTTTGAAGTCAAAGTACAAAGGTATAAGTTGAAGTCAAAGTGTGTTTAAGTATAAGTTTGAAGTCCAAGTATAAGTCAAGGTATAAGTTTGAAGTCCAAGTGTGTTAAGGTATAAGTTTGAAGTCCAAGTGTAAAGTCAAGGTATAAGTTTGAAGTCCAAGTGTAAGTCAAGGTATAGTTTGAAGTCCAAAGTATAAGTTTAAGTTCAAGTATAAGTTTGAAGTCCAAGTGTAAGTCAAGGTATAAGTTTGAAGTCCAAGTGTAAGTCAAGTATAAGTTTGAAGTCCAAGGTCAAGGTATAAGTTTGAAGTCCAAGTGTAAGTCAAGGTATAAGTTTGAAGTCCAAGGGTAAGTCAAGGTATAAGTTTGAAGTCCAAGGTATAAATTTGAAGTCCAGTTAAGTCAAGGTATAAGTTTTGAAGTCCAAGTAAGTCCAAGTTTAAGTCTTGGAAGTCAAGCAAGTATAATTTGAAAGTGTTAAGTCAAGGTTCAAGGTATAAGTTTTGAAGTCCAGGTAGTTCAAGGTATAAGTTTGAAGTCCAAGTGTAAGTCAAGGTATAAGTTTGAAGTCAAAGCGTAAGTCAAGGTATAAGTTTGAAGTTTCAAATGGTAAGTAAGTTTGAAGTCAAAGCGTTAATCAAGGTATAAGTTTGAAGTCAAGTTAAGTAAGGGTATAAGTTTTGAAGTCAAAAGTGTAAGTCAAGGTATTAAGTTTGAAGTCCAAGTGTAGTCAAGGTATAAGTTTGAAGTCCAAGTAATGTCAAGGTTAAGTTTTGAAGTTCCAGTTAAGTCCAAGTATAGTTTGAAGTCAAGTGTAAGTCAAGTATAAGTTTGAAGTCCAAAGCGTAAGTCAAGGGTTATAAGTTGAAGTCCAAGCGTAAGTCAAGGTATAAGTTTGAAGTCCAAGTGTAAGTCAAGGTATAAGTTTGAAGTCAAAGTGTAAGTCAAGGTATAAGTTTGAAGTCAAAGCGTAAGTCAAGGTATAAGTTTGAAGTCCAAGTGTAAGTCAAGGTATAAGTTTGAAGTCCAAGCGTAAGTCAAGGTATAAGTTTGAAGTCCAAGTGTAAGTCAAGGTATAAGTTTGAAGTCCAAGTGTAAGTCAAGCGTATTAAGTTTGAAGTCAAAGTAAGTCAAGGTATAAGTTTTGAAGTCAAAGTGTAAGTCAAGGTATAAGTTTGAAGTCCAAGGTAAGTCAAGGTATAAGTTTGAAGTCAAGTGTAAGTCAAGTATAAGTAAGTCAAATGTAAGTCAAGGTATAAGTTTGAAGTCCAAGTGTAAGTCAAGGTGTTGAAGTCCAAGTGTAAGTTAAGGTTTGAAGTCCAAGTGTAAGTCAAGGTATAAGTTTGAAGTCAAGTGTAAGTCAAGGTATAAGTTTGAAGTCAGTGTAAGTCAAGGTATAAGTTGAAGTCCAAGTGTAAGTCAAGTATAAGTTTGAAGGTCCAAGTGTAGTTAAGGTATTAAGTTTGAAGTCAAGTATAAGTCAAGGTATAAGTTTGAAGTCCAAGTGTAAGTCAAGGTATAAGTTTGAAGTCCAAGTGTAAGTCAAGGTATAAGTTTGAAGTCCAAGTGTAAGTCAAGGTATAAGTTTGAAGTCAAGGTGTTAAGTAAGTATAAGTTTTGAAGTCCAAGTGTGTTAAGGTATAGTTGAAGTCCAAGTAAGTCAAGGTATAAGTTTTCAAGTTCAAGGTATAAGTTTGAAGTCAAGCGTAAGCCAAGGTATAAATTTGAAGTCCAAGTGAAGTCAAGATATAAGTTTTGAAGTCAAGCGTAAGTCAAGTATAAATTTGAAGTCCAAGTGTAAGTCAAGTATAAGTTTTGAAGTCCAAGTGTAAGTCAAGTTTAAGTTTGAAGTCCAAGTGAAGTCAAGGTTATAAGTTTGAAGTCAAAGCGTAAGTCAAGGTATAAGTTTGAAGTCAAAGTAAGTAAGGTATAAGTAAGGTCCAAGAGTAAGTATAAGTTTAAGTCAAAAGCGTAAGTCAAGGTAGTGTGAAGTCCAAGTGTAAGTCAAGGTTCAAGTGTAAGTCAAAGGTATAAGTAAGTCAAAGCGTAAGTCAAGTATAAGTTTGAAGTCAAGCAAAGTCAAGGTATAAGTTTGAAGTCAAAGTAAAGTCAAGTATAAGTTTGAAGTCCAATG